GGTTTAGAGTTTAGGGTTTATGGTTCTATAATAGGGTCCCCTTTTTGGGATCGTATAAGGGTTCTATAATAGGAGCCCCTTCAAAGGCACCTTGAGCTTTGGGTTTTTGAGATTGAGGCTCGGGGTTTAGGGTTCGCGGCTTGGTGCTTAGGGTTTAGGGTATAGGGGTTATAGGGTTTAGGGTTTGGGGTTTAGGGTCTCGGGTTGAGGAGAGTGTTCAGGGTTCAGCGGGGTGTTAGCGCTTTAAGACTTTAGGGGTTACAGGGTTTTAGGTTTAGGGGGTTGTTGGCACTTTAGGGGTTTACAGGCTTCTAGAGGGTTTGCAGGGTGCTAGGGGTTGCGGGTCTCTGCAGCCTTTTGGCGAGTTAGGTGGGCTGTTCTTGGAAGCACTTTTGCTTCATGAAGCTGTACGAACATAGAGAAATAATACTCAGACCTTTCGAGTCAGTCAAGGGACTCAAAGGTCAAACTCTCGGAAACTACTATGCAAAGGAACAAGAGCCATGGCACAAAAGAGCTGTGTAGAACTCCGTCGGGGACCCTATCTGAATTCCCACATAGCCGGACATAGCCTACTAGTCATTTCAACAGAGAGACACCAAAATACAAGCGGCATGAGGGCTAACTAGGTAGAGTTCTGTACCCTGGACCATAGAAACCCATCGGCGGCAATGATGTCCCTTCGGCCCTGAAACCGTCTCCCCAGCACCCTGCAGCAGAAGAATGGGGCCCTAAACCCTAAACCCTGAAGCCGTCTCCTCAGCACCCTGCAGCAGAAGAATGGGGCAAGAGAGCTGATCGGTGTGCCGGATGGGCGCACGCTCCTCGTAGACGTCCTTTCTCGAACTTTGGGTTGAGAAGTGAAGGCTTGGGAAGATGCAAAAACCCGACTTCCGTTGACGTTTAGGGTTTAGGGTTTAGGGTTGAGGGTTTGGGGTTTAGGGTTTAGGGCTTAGGGTTTAGGTTTAGGGTAGGCTTTTGAACCTAAACCCTAAACCCTAACAGGGTGTGGGATATAGGATTGAAAGCTTTTCGAATGGCGAGTCAAGGGCATGGGTCTCATGCCCAATCTCCACTACCCCCAATAGGGCCACATATAGAAGCCCAACGTATAGGTGTTGAAATGTTCAATGGGGTTTGTGGGTTCCTTTATAGTATACTTATCAGGAAAATTATTGGTAATTAGTTCGGCTTCTATGTCAAATAACTGGGCTAGGTTTTGCTAAGGCCTTCCGAAGGTGCACAGATGCTAGGGATGCCTACAGACTCATGACTCAGGCCTCTATGTCAACCACTGATACGTGTTATATGCTACTAGCTGACCTTTAAACTTGCAACACACAAACTACAACCTTGAATGGATCCTAACCTTAAGTACGAAATGCACCCCAAAAGGTCTAAGGTTCATATACCATATAAGGGTTCATGGTATAAGGGTATAGGGCCCCTACTTATAAGGGTCATTTGGTCCCCAAGGAAGTTTTTACATCTCTGGCATATAGGCCCATGCAGTCCCGGATGCGTCCCTCTTCGCAGTGAAACTAGGGCAATTAGCGTTTAGGGTCCAGGGCATACGCCCTCCAAAACACAATAAAAACACACACACACACACACAAAAGCCCTACGAAGTCCTTGACCGCCCTAAACCCCAATCACTATATTGCGCAACCCTGAGCCTCAAAATAACCAAACTCGACAACCCCAAACCCTAAACCCCAAAATAACCAAACTCGACAACCCCGAGTCCTTCTTCTCCGGGTAGGGGCCCACCAAGCCATCGAGGTAGCGACTCTCAAACTTATGGGTGTCGCCCGCCAGCGCTGAGAGATCTCCGATGCCATACCTGAGGACTTCTTTTTCAGTCGAAATGCAAAAGGGGCCCTAAACCTAGCCCATAAACCCTCGCGACCTTAATCCGTAAAACATGAAACCCGTAAAATCCTGTAGACCCTGAGTCCGTAAAACCTTAAGCCCACAAATCCCGAAACCCTAAACGACTAAAACCCTAAACCCATATATGCCCTAGAGAAAAGAAACTCTTGGGTGCAGGGACTCAGGGCTTGTGGAGTTAGAAATTAGGGTCCACCTAACCTGACACCTACAAAAACACGATGTTCAATTTAGGCTTTAGGGTTTAGGGTTTCCGAATTTCAACAGATTTCAGCAGCTTCAAGAACGCCTCGTATTCTGGCGTCTGCGGCGACGTGACCATACAATGCCCGATCTTCCTCTTTGCGTGCAGCGTGTAGGGGACCCCACAGTGAGGCCAAAAGCGAAGTTCAGAGATTTCAGCAGCTCCAAGAACGCGTCGTATTATCTTTCTTTCTCTTTTCTAACACACCTCACCTCCGAAGCGGTGAGCTCAGCCCGCAGCCCTTTTATGGTTTCGACGAGTTTTTTGCTGCGAGACTCGTCGTCCTCAGAGCTGGGCGTGCCCTTCTTCCGGGTGTTTTCGTCGGCGTTGTTTCGCCACCCGCCATCCCACTGCCGGGCGTCTGCGGCGACGTGACCCATGCAATGCACGATCGTCCTCTTTGCGTGCACCGTGTAGAGGACCCCGCAATGAGGCCGAAAGTTCCAAAAAACTTCTGTGTCAACGACGCAGCCTGATCTGCTGCCCTGCATGATCTCATCACGTTTGGTGTAAACTGCATGGCTTCTACAAGGAGAGAATGTCAACCACAGACGACATACCATACGTAGTAGGCACACACCTATACAAACTCGTCAGGTAACCAACCTTCAACAACTCACATTTCTTCATCGCGAGGCTCCTGTGACATAGGTATAAGTTGGAAGCCTGAATACGTAGTAACGGTATCCCGTGTAACCTCTGTGAAAGTTATTCTATAAGATCGCCAAGAAAATGATCATGCGGATATGGTCTACTTACATGTAGTAGCGTCTTAGTTCTCGGCATCTCCATAACAACAATAAACACAGCAATACTCCTAAGGAGCTATATATATATATATGTATATATATATATACAGATGAACTCGCCAACACGATCATTCTCGCTACCTCTCCAGACCTCGAAGTTACTGTGTAGTGTTTAGGGTTTAGGGTTTAGGGTTCAGGTGTGGGTAGTTCTTTAACTCAGGGTCCCTTTGTACAAGGGTGCCGTACCTTATTTGGGGAGCTGAAAGGGGACCCTAATTTACAGAACCGCCCATGTGGCCTTGAATGCAGAATCAGAGTCATCAGAAGTCTACTTGAAAGGAACCCCTACACCCTAAACCCTAAACCCTTAAAACTAAAGGAATCCTGTAAGGAGCGCCAAAAGGAGCCCCTTAAGGAACCCCTTAAGGGGGGAAGTATCGGAGCCCTTACAGGAGCCCTAAACCCGAAAACCCCCTAAACCGGGACTCCCTTCAGGGTTCTGATAGGCCCCATAGTAGTTCCTTTTGGGGGTTACCTTATAGGATTCTATATATGAACCCAAAAAATTTAAGGCTCTTTATTACCTTGCTAAAATTATAGCTCTTGGTACCCCTAATATCAGAAAAGGCGAATCCTAAAAGTGGTAAAGCTATGAAGTGACTGTGAAGTTCAACCAAGAAAAGGAACTACTATGCGTTGAGCCAAGTTTGCATCGAACAGCCCGCTTTGAAGACATTGCGGAAGGCCAGCGCACCTTCTGCCACAGACCCTGAACCCTAAACCCCTAAACCCTAAACCCCTCAACCCTAAACTCAAAACCCCTAAACCCTAAACCCTAAACCCTAAAACCCTAAACCCTAAACCCTAAACCCCTAAACCCTAAACCCCCAAACCCTAAACCCTAAACCCTGCCACAGACCCCCGAAACTCGGGGCTCAATGGATCTTTGCTTGGTGCTTTTGGGGTTCACAAACCATGGCCCTTCAAGGTCATGTCGGGTTCAGGGTTTAGGGTTTAGGGTTTGGGGACCCTGAATCCTGAAACCCCAAACCCTCAAATCCTAAAGCCCGAAGATGAAACCCGCGAGCCCAAACCCCAACCTGTCTGCCCCAGTGCCCTGAACTCCCTTTTTCTTCATGGGACTTCGTAGGTAAGGTTCTAAAGTGCTTTAAGTGGGGATCTACAAAGGTTCCGCTTCGTGATCTCTACCTGTATCCCCAAACCCTACAAAATAGCAGGTTATGACCCCTTAATTAGAGGGTCTAACCCTCAAAACGGTAGGTTTTTGAATACCCAGGTCGGGATCTAGGGCTTGGGATCTACTTGGTGGATCACTGCCTCCTCCCACTGCTAAGTCTCGACCGAGGGCCCTAAACCCTAAACCCTGAACCCTAAATCCCGAAAAGTGTCCCCCAAATGGACAGGGTATGAGACCCTAAACCCTAAACCCCTGAGGGCAGTACTCGGCCACCTAGCCCAAATCTCAGTTCAACAGAACCCTAAACCCCTAAACCTAANNCCCTAAACTGAAGAACCCATGAAGCCATGTACATACCTACATAGCCCCATCAGCCCCCCAGTCTATTCTTTAGTCTGCTCGCTACTTCACACCAGGGGCGGCAGTGTCATGGTATGCCAGCTTTCTGACGGTCACTACAGGTAGCCCAAAGTTTCTGCATGGTGCCTTTGTAGTAGCTTCCCTAAACCTTAAACCCTAAA